TCAATAGAATCTAAATGCACCATGTATATGTTTCCTATTCTATGACCAACAAGCATAATCTGATTAGATGCAATGTCAATGACTTTACAACCATTAATATCAAACATGACATTGAATCTCTTATTACAAAATTGACTAATACTTAATAGATTATGCTTTAATCCATTCACATATAAAACATTCTTAATTTGTATGGAAGAGGTATTACCAATAGTACCAATACCTTCAATGTGACCTTTTGAATCATCACCAAAAGTCACTTCTCCTCCATTTTTGGCGTTAAGCTTAATGAACCGGCTTTTATCTCCGGTCATGTGTCTTGAGCATCCACTATCAAGGTACCATGAGTTTGAATTTGTTTCCCGTGCCTTGTAGAAATGCTCATTTTCCTACAAACATAGATTAATTTCTAATTTTTGGTACGCAAATTCTTTTGGGTTCATATTCATTAGTTTCCAAAATTCTAGTCCCCTTAGGTATCCATTTGTATAGGATATCCTTATCTTTAGTAGTAATGAGCTCTTTAGGAACCCATATACTTCTAACGATTTTTCCATTAGAGGTTCTTTGGGGACCTTTATGATTGTAGTTTTTAAAACTTTTTCTAACAAAGTTGGATTTAGAATTTTCTCCACATTCAAAACGTTTTGTTCCAACTTTATCAAAAGAAGCTTTAAGATCATCAATTTTCTTTTGATGATCATCATTGACCTTTGAAAGTAAATTTTGCAAATCTAAATTTTTCTTTTCAAACTCTTCTAGTTTGATTTGAAAATCTTTGATCTTACTTTCAAGATCGTTGTTGGTTTTTGATATGAGCTTATTTTCATTTTTCAATTTTGAAACATCATTTTTATATTTTAAAAACAATTTCTCATAATTCGAAGCCAATCCATTATATTCCTCTAATAACTCATCATAGGATAAATCATCAAAATCAGATGAGTTAGAGGTTACCTTAGAATTTCCCCGAATACCATCAAGCACAAGTTTGCTACTTCTTGTTCCTCTTCGTCGGAACCTTCTTCGTCGCTCCATGTAGCCACATGAGCCTTGTGCTTATTCTTTGATTGACCCTTTCTCTTCAATTGTGGGCAATCATATTTGACATGCCCTAGTTTTTTGCATTCATAGCAAATGATTGGGTCCTTCTCTTTTGGTTCATTTTTGAGGCCTTCATTTCGTTTGAATTTTCTTCCTCGGTAAGGTCTCATCATTTTTCTAAACCGTTTGGCAAACAATGCCATTTCCTCGTCATCGTCATCTTCATCCGAATCACTCTCATCTTTTGTGGATTTGAGAGCAACTCCAATGTTTTTCTTCTTCTCCTTCTCCTTCTCCTTTGGTGTCTTTTCAATCTTATCAAGGTCCACCTCATCTTCAAGCATCATTTCATGAGTGAGGAGTGACCCAATTAGCTCTTCAAGAGTTAAGGACGTTAAGTCCTTAGACTCGATGATTGCCGTCTTCTTTGATTGTCACGATTTTGGGAGGGAGTAGACTAACTTCCTCACAAGCTTTTCATTTGAAATGATCTCTCCATATGACTTGAGACCATTGAAAATCGTTGAGAATCTATCCGTCATAGCTTTGATATCTTCATTTGGTTTCATCCTGAAATTTTCATAGCTATACGTTAGAAGACTAATTTTAGATTTCTTTACCTCATCTGTACCTTCATGAGTGACTTGAAGTTTGTCCCATATTTCTTTGGCGGTTATACACGATGAAACTCTTCCGTATTCATCTGGTCCAAGAGCACAAAAAATGATATGGATGGCTTTGGAGTTGAGCTGGAACATTTTTGTCTCTCCTTCACTCCACAATCTTGGATGAGTGAGAGGCTTGATGTATCATTCCACTACGACATTCCATGCTCCCATGTCACTTGCTTGAATGAAGTACATAATTCTATTCTTCCAATAGGCATAGTTAGCTCCATTGAAGAAATGAGGCTTATTGACGGGCATCGAATCGAGACCGGAGTCGAAGTTTGAAGCGGAGGCCATTGATGACTTTGATTATCGATATAACTCTTCCCGAATCGACTCAAGAGGCGATTAAACCTTCAAATGAGTTAGGCTCTGATGCCAATTGTTGAGTTAATCGATTGACGGAATTGGCTAAGAGGGGGGTGAATTGGCAATTAAAAATTTGGTGGAAGCTTTTGCAGAAAATTGAAAGTAATTGCAAAGCGATTTAGAGTGGTTCGACTTTCTCAATCAAAGTCTACGTCCACTACCTTAGCTATCCACACTAAGGATTTTCCAACAAATTCACTAATTTGTTCTTTCTTTTGAGGCCAAAGAGATAACCTTACAACACCCTCAAGAATATACCACAATTCTTGAGAACACTTTTTCCCAAAGAGAAGATTACAAATTTGCAAACTTACAAGGAAAACCTCACAAGGTACAATGTTTGCACAATTCTAGAACAAGAAAAGAACACTCACAAATAATTACAAATGAGCACAAATGATGTTCTTTGAAAGCAAAATGAATATTAAAAGGAAAATTGGCTTGATTTGCACAAACTTGGTGTTTGATGCTTTCACTCTTGTTTCTCTATGATTTCTTCTTGATCAAAGGCTTCAGAACTTGTTTAAATACACCTTGAATCACTTCTGAACGTTGGGGATGATTAGTGAAGATCATATAGCCGTTTTAGTGTGAAAACAATTAATAAAACAGCTTGGAGCCTGGGGGGAATCGGTACCCCCTATGGGGAATCGGTTCCTTAAGTGTAAAATTCAAATATTTTGACCGTTATACAAGGGGGGAATCGGTTCCCTCCGAGCATACTGGAATTCTCGAAGCCAAACCATTCAGAGGGAATCGGTACCCCCTTGTGGGGGGAATCGGTTCCCTATGAGCAATCTGGAATTTTTGGCTTTGAAATGGTTCGAAATACTTTGTAAAATTATTTTGAAATTGTTTTAAGATTAAAACTTAATTTTACAATTGAGTAAGGATTAAAAATGATTTTTGAAAGATTTGGAGTAATATTTTGATATTCGAATAGTTATATCGAATATACTTAGAAAATTATTTGGAAAATCTTAAAATTCATTTAACTTAATTTGTTATATCGAAATATCAAAATGTTTAAACACATACCAATGTTAGTATACTCTCTAACATTTATACTTTTAATAATACTCAAGAGTACTATTATATTCAATTTTTATTAAAATTCCTCCTATCTTAAATTTTCCAGGCTAAGTAGTATTGGTACCCCTACCATAGTATCGATACTTCTATACTATAGTACTGATACTCCCTTTCAATATCGATACCATTTATGCATTTTGGAATCCATGGTATCGATACCTTCCTCTTAGTATCGATACCCACATCAATATCAATACTAATTGCAAAAGTATCGATATTGTTCATCGTAATTCTTCAAATTTAAACCTATAATATCGATATTGTTCTTCTAGTACCGATACCCTTACCCAGATTTTCCATTTTTTAGCCCGATTTTTACCAATTTTTTGATTAAATCTCTTACTTTTACCTCAAACAATACCCTTAAGCTTAACATCAATTAACCCAACTAACTTTCCTCCATTTAGCTTTTTATAACATATAAATTCTCCAAAGAACATCCCAAAACAAGAATCATACTACTTTTTAATACATGTTTTTAATCACATTCAATGCTTCTAATCTCTTATTTACATATTTGACAAGTCAAATATACTAGAAAACCTCAATAAAAACTCATATTTCAACATATCATTCAAAAAACTCATTTTCTTCAATATCAAATAAATCATCCATATCTTAGTTTTAAACCTTCCTTAAGCTTTCACATCACTTTAGGTGCCAAGACCAAACCAAAAACTTGCTAAATGAAGTCTTGCCTTTGGCTATGGAGGAGAGAACGAGCAACGGGGAAGAAGAAGGGAAGATGACTTAGTTTTTTTTCCCTTCAACTTTCCCCTTTTTCCACTTTCTTTAATACCCATATTAAAAATGAATTTTAAATCCATTTCCCTCTAAAGGACCAAAATGCCTTTTTATTCTTCCATTCTTACTAATTGGTCTTAAACAAAATTTCTAAACTAATTCTTATACTTTACCATTTATTCAATTTAATCCCCCAAATTTCAAATTCTTTCAATTTAGTCACTGACTCGATATTCGGGATATTACATCTCCAACCACCATCATCATTGTCGAACAGTCACCCACTTGTCGACATCCACCCATTGATCAATCGTCGTCCTTACCGTGACAAAAAATCCCTAAATCTAAAACCCCCAAAATTCAAATTTCTGATTCCTAATTTTAACTTCCTAACCTAAATGGTCGCTGACCATCTCTGATTATCATCGTCATTGTCGAACGGTTGGGTTTTGATCAAAATTGCATGGTGGTTTGAATGGTTGCAGCAGTGTGGCTTGTGGACGTTGGAATCGATCGAAATCAAGGAAACAAAGGCGGTGGCTTAAAAATCGACGAAACTTTGAATGTTTCTCTACGGCAAATGGTGGCATGTTACGACGAAATGTTAACGAGGTTTGTTTAGGGGTCGATATCGGTGCCGATGATGGTGGCGGTGATGGTCACCGTCGATCAGCCGATGACCTATTGAAGGGAGCAAGGGAAAGGGAAAATGGGAAAGGGGAGAGGGGGTCCGCGGGGGGCGGGTACATTTTTTTATAAAAAAATATATATATTTTTTTTTTTATTTTTTAATATTTTTTAAAAAATTACCAAAACGTGACACGTGTCACTTAACGAAGATATTTAACGACGATTAATATTTGGACACCTAAAAATATAACGTTCGAAATATTAGACCCTTATTTTTAATAAAAAATTCTTAATACACTACAATAATTTTTCTAGATATAGTTTGTACACTTGTTTAGTCAAATATTTATCAAATCAAATTAACCGAACCCTACACACATCTAATTCTTATAATAAATTCTGGCTCGTTCTGTACCAATCCCAGAAAAGAGGGGAAAAGAAGATGAAAAAGTAAAGACTATTATTAAAATTTTGCCCCTCCGATTAATTTCAACCCACATTAACTCCGGTCTATTTCATCTTCTTCATCATCATCTTGCTCCCGGAAAAAAAAATCCTTTCTTTAACAACTATGAACTCCTGAGATCCGATTAGATCTGGTCATATTACTCCCCAATCCGTCTCTGAAATTCCCATTTACGCTGTCTACATCTGTTTATTTACATGTATTGATCGATTCTTCTTTCAATTTCTCCAACAACAAGATTTTGAACTTTCATTTGTTTTCTCTCTGGGGTTCCTTAAATTTCCGGCTTGATTTCTCCTTTCTGAGATGGAATGTGCAGGATCGTAAGCTAGGGTTTTGAAAAGATTCGATTTTTGTTTGTTTTGTTTTGTTTTGGTGAGGGACTAGGTTTTTGACCTCGGAGTGTATGAGGATTTGGTGCTGCCTATGCATTATCGACGAGGAAGAGGACGATAATCGTCGTGAAGAAACCATGAAGGAGGGGTTTTTAGCCAATGTTGACGGTTTTGAGGGTAATTTTGTGAATGAAGACGACGAAGGTGACCACGAGGAGCGAGAGAAAGAAGGGGAGAGAGGGGGGGAGGAAGAAGAAGCTCCCTACGCTGTCGCCAGTGCCGCGGCGGCTCAATTTTCTTTAACCCTAGGCAGACGAAGGCAGGGTGAAGAGACGTCGTTGTTTGAAGAAATGGTGTCAGCCATGAGATGCGGTGGGAACTGGGATGATGCTACGTGGCGCCCTTTGAATCGATGCTTGTTTCTTTCCGAAGGTGACAGTAGCGCCTCCGCTTCCACCGCGATTGAAGATTGTGACAACCACGATTTGAACCATAAGCGAGCCAAAGTGTACTCTGGTTTCCAGTGTGTCATCAACTTGATAACTATATACACATTTTAGTTAGGAGAATTTGATTTTTTGTTATTCTTATACTTTTGCAATGTTCTCACTGCAGCGAGAGCACGTCTACGGGTAGAGATTATAATATTAACCAAGGCTCATCAAATTCATCTAATAATGGGATATTTGATCACAATTTCATTTTGAATGATGGGAATCCTTCTAGTGGAAATGGTGACATGGATGAGAAACATGAGGATGATTTGATGGTGGAAGATTTTGAAACCCGGATGGATCTGACCGATGACTTGTTGCATATGGTAGATAATTTGAACTATTATACTTCCATTTTAGCTATTACAGTTTTTGTTGCATTTGTTGAACCTTATTTTTTTGGTTTTTCCTATTTCCAGGTGTTCTCTTTCCTGGACCATTGCAATCTTTGCCATGCTGCTATGGTTTGTAGGCAGTGGCGAGCGGCTAGTGCTCATGAGGATTTTTGGAGGTGTTTGAATTTTGAAAACCGGAATATATCCCTTGAACAACGTGAGTCTTGTATTTGCTCAATATCTTTGCATAGTTCTTCTTTTGGTTGAAAAAAAGTGTACTCCAAAATGATTTTGAAACTAGCTGGAGAAATGAGAATGTTAGTGTAACTTGTTTAGAATAACCAATTAAGAGAATTAAAAGAGCAAGCAGCTATATAGAAGCTGTCCTTTTATCTATGTCGAGATTGCCACTTTACAGTTCCGGTCATGTTATTTTCTATTCTTTTTGTTTATTATATTACTTTGTGTGAGATGATTCTCCATTACTAATAACAAAATTGGATTCCAGACTGCTATAACATTGCATTTTGATTCTGCAGTTGAGGACATCTGTCAACGATATCCGAATGCCTCTGAAGTGAATCTCAGTGGCACTCGTAATATGCACCTGCTAGTTATGAGGGCTGTCTCTTCATTACGGTAATATTTTCTCTATCATATTTTTTCATTCTTGTAATCTAATAAATATATTGTGCTTTCTGTTATTCATGTGAACTTTCTGATTGGCAGAAATCTCGAGGCTTTAACATTGGGAAGAGGCCAACTAGGGGATGCTTTTTTCCATGCATTGGTAGAATGTAGTATGTTACGGAGTTTGGATGTGAATGATGCTATTCTCGGCAATGGTGTTCAAGAAATACCTATTAACCATGATAGATTGTGTGATCTGAAAGTAACAAAATGCCGTGTGATGCGTCTATCTATCAGGTGAAACAAAAGCTTCATTTGAATGTTAACTTTATCCATGTGGTTATTCTTTCTGCTAAAGCCTGAATCTTTTGTAGGTGTCCACAGCTAAAAAGTTTGTCTCTGAAACGTAGTAATATGGCTCAGGTGGCCCTGAATTGCCCTCTTTTAAACCTGCTCGACATAAGCTCATGCCACAAACTTACAGATGCTGCAATTCGCTCGACAGTGACTTCTTGCCCCCAATTAGAGTCTTTAGACATGTCGAATTGTTCTTGTGTTAGTGATGATACATTGCGCGAGATAGCTCACAGTTGTGCTAATCTCCATGTTTTGAATTCTTCTTATTGTCCCAACATATCACTTGAGGTTAGTTTCTTGCAAACGGTTAATTTAGTTCTAATATGGTATACTCTTTTGGTTAAGTTGTATTTTGATACATTTGCTTTTGCTTTTTGAAGTCTGTAAGATTGCCGATGTTAACAGTTCTTAAACTTGACAACTGTGAGGGTATCACATCTGCCTCAATGGCTGCAATAGCTCATAGTTATATGTTGGAGGTTTGGGTTTTTTTCTTGTATATTTTGTTGTTACCTGGATTTTTGTGGTCTATATTAAAATTTCTATATGCACATAATTATTATGTTACCTGTTGCAGGAGTTGGAGCTTGATAATTGCCACATGTTAACGTCAGTGTCATTGGATCTTCCTCGTTTGCAGAAAATTCGATTGGTTCACTGTCGAAAGTATACTGTTATTCCATTTTATTCCCCTTTTCCTTTTCTTACCAACCCAAAATGACTTCGCCTTCGCGGTGTCTTTGGCTGTATCTTTTTTTCTCTTTGATTTTATAATGGTTTATAATTTTGGCCACGCAGATTTGCTGACTTAAATGTACAGTGTTCCATGCTATCATCTGTGATGGTGTCCAATTGCACTGCTCTCCATCATATTAGCATCAGTTCAAATTCACTTCAAGTGTGTTTTATGATGATCTGGTCTCTGTTGTTACTGTTTTGGTTGCAAATAAGATTTTGATGTTGTATGGTTGATTTTATTAAAATGCAGAAATTAGCATTGCAGAAGCAGGAAAATTTGACAATGTTGGCACTGCAATGTCAATGTTTGCAAGAAGTTGACCTAACAGATTGTGCATCTTTGACAAATTTTATATGCAATGTATTTAGTGATGGTGGTGGTTGCCCTATGCTAAAATCATTAGTTCTGGATAATTGTGAGGTATGTGAATAGATTTTTTCTGATTGAACCATTTTTCAGTTATTACGCATGTGCATGCGAATAGAACATTCGAAGATTGGGTGATAGATACCTGTAAGATTAGCTACATCTCAGCAGATTTATCACTTCAAATGGCACCATAGTTTTATTCGTCTTAATTCTGGTCTGCATCCAGCATTACTTACGAGTTACCAATATCCTTTAATTGATTTTGGTGCTATTGAATGAATATTGATCCTTGGTTCCTGCATTTTCATGCGTCATTTTATTCTGTTTTCTGACAATTCCTTGTTTTTATGTTGACCAGAGCTTGACAGCAGTGCAGTTATTCAGTACATCTTTAGTCGGTCTTTCTCTGGTTGGCTGTCGTGCTATCACTTCTCTGGATCTTGCATGTCCTTTTCTTGAGAAAATTTGCCTAGATGGTTGTGATCATCTTGAAAGAGCATCGTTTTGCCCTGTAAGTTTAGAGTGACAGCTATGTTATGCATGTAATGTCATCCTGTTATAAAATGTAAAAGCTGAGACTTTTTTTCCTTTCTAGGCTGCTCTTCGGTCACTTAATCTCGGAATATGCCCAAAATTGAACACACTAAGAATTGATGCTCCATATATGGTGTCGCTTGAGTTGAAAGGATGTGGTGTATTATCTGAAGCATCAATAAATTGTCCTCTATTGACATCACTTGATGCTTCCTTTTGCAGGTTTGTTGCAATTGCTTACTTTTGTGATATATTATTTTGGCCTATGGTTGACTAATCTTTTTAATTTCATATGCAGCCAACTCAAGGACGTTTTCTTGTCTGCAACCACTGTTTCCTGCCCTCTGATTGAGTCATTAATATTGATGTCATGCCCATCTATTGGTTCTGATGGTCTTTTCTCTTTGAGCCGGCTTCCAAATTTAACTACACTTGATTTATCATATACCTTTTTGACGAATTTGCAGCCGGTTTTTGAGTCTTGTTTGCAGCTGAAGGTAACTTTAAATCCTTGATATATAATCCTTGATTAATCATGCAAGGCATATTCATTCTATTCATGTTAACTTCATTTTACTCCATATTGTATTAAAGTTGCATTGGTTTAAATATCTTGTTTATGCTTTTTGGCTCACTTTTTTCTCTCTTTTAGGTGTTAAAATTACAAGCATGCAAATATCTGGCCGATTCATCACTGGAGCCTCTTTACAAGGAAGGTGCTTTACGAGAACTCCGGGATTTGGACTTGTCATATGGTACCCTGTGCCAGTCTGCCATAGATGAGCTTCTTGCTTATTGCACACATCTTACCCATGTGAGCTTGAATGGATGTATAAATATGCATGACCTGAATTGGGGTTCTACTGGTTGTGGGTTCGAGTCACTTGGCATACATAGTGGATCTAGCATGTTTTCTTTAGAGAACCTCAATGAGCTGATCGAGCAACCAAACCGTTTACTGCAGAACCTCAATTGTGTAGGTTGTCCAAATATTAGGAAAGTGCTCATCCCACTAGCTGCACGTTATTTCCATTTGTCATCCCTAAATCTTTCTTTGTCAGCCAATTTGAAGGAAGTTGACCTCGCATGTTACAGTTTGTCCTTTCTTAATTTAAGGTACTGACACTCCTTTTTATGGTTGTCCGTCTTTATTTTATCTGGCACTCATCTAAACTTTTATGCCTATTTCTTTATTCAGCAATTGTAGCTCCTTGGAAGTTTTGAAGCTGGGATGTCCTAAACTGACCAGTCTGTTTCTTCAGGTATGTATCTCTGAAACCACAGGTGTTTAATATTTAGGTCCTTTCTTTTTCCCCTTGGTTCTGTTGACTTTCTATCTTGAGTTTATTCTCGGAGATGTTTGGTTTTTTACTGAGGTTTCCGTGAGAGTTCCTGCGTAATATTGTTTATTTGCCTCGTGGGTTGGTGAAGAATTTATGTTATTGTTCTCTGTATTTTGATATTTGTATTCTAGGAACCAGCTAATGAGTCGTATGACGACTTCATTTTCTGATGCTTCGCTAGTAGTTAAAGATCGGTTATAACTTTTAAGCAGACTTATCTCTGCAATTATTGTTTTACTCGATGTGTAGTAAGTTTATGTGCAATTTGACTTTTCTTACATTGACGTAGATGCTATATATTTTGTTGATTTTTATACTCTTAGCTTTGTAACCCAATATTCCTCTTTCAATTTCTTTGATGCAAACAAACAATGCATATGTCTTCATACGTGTGGTATTACGGCCATGAGTTTGTCATCTAACTATTCTATTTTTTGAACCGGTCTTTCCAAGTCTTGCAACATCGAGGAGGAAACAGTCGAAACTTCTATATCGGAGTGTAGCATGCTGGAGACTTTGGATGTTCGCTTTTGTCCAAAGGTAAGGACATTCTTTTCTTCAGATCTCCCTCCAGTTATGCTCCTGTCTAGATGCTCTTCTTATACCATGTTTTTTCTTTGATCATGTTCAAGTTTTGTTTATAGTCTCTTAGACTCAAATGTCTAATATTCTCTCGAAGGGGGAAAATGTCGAACTCATGGGATTTTCTTACGTGGTTGTAGATTTGCTCGATGAACATGGGGAGGTTGCGAGCGATTTGTCCGAGTTTGAAGCGAATATTCAGTAGCTTGTCACCTGCATGATGGGATTGTCATGAAGAAAATGTATTTCCCTTTTGGTAGCAACGGCTTGGTGTTTTGGTTATGGTAGGCTCTGCTTGTTTGTAAATGGTAATTATCCTTTCCAGATTGTTTTGAATATATATAAATATAAAAGTTATACATGTAGGTACTTGACATGCTTGCGTCCTCGTTACAGTGTAATATTTCCATATTCGCTGCATTGGTTAATATTTCTTATTTTCTGAGATTGATCATCGATATTACACAGAAGTTCCGTATTAGGGTTTACATTCAGGTAATTATCGTACAGCACATCATTTGTTTGTATCATAATATCGATTCCAACTGCTTCATTTCCGGGTCCAAGTCCCGAGGCTGCTCGAAGTCATCGTTGGAGGAGCCTCCAGGCATCGGCAATTTCCTTGCCTTGATTTAATACATTGGTTGGAATCGTTTGAAGTAGGCCGCCAATGGAAGGAAATGAAGTTCTACTTGTCTTGAATGTGGTATATAACCATATATATATATATATGGAAAGTTTAAAGCAATAATACCTATTAAGGGCTTTGGGGGCTCCTATTTTACGCAAAAAATATCTGAAACCGGATTTGGGAAAAATCGGTTTTTTTTAAACCGGATTCATCAATGGCTTAATTAGAATACCTGAGACATTGATCAACGTCTTTGAAAGCCATTTCACCATTCCCAGCATCAGAAGCATACTGTGCGACCTGAAGATCGAAGGGAATTGATCAAAACCTCAGGAACTCTAGAATAATACCAGAAAAGAAATTTAAAAACTGCCAAAAAACTAAAAGGGAATGACAAATGCAGATAGCAATAAAGGAAATGAACAAAATTTCCTCATCAAGTTGATACTTGTCAGCAATGCAAATGCTTCTCTTTTTTGAAACTCGATTGTTCTTAGACACTTCTTCATGGAAATGAGAAGATCAGACAACTATCTACAATGCTTCGACTTACAGCTCGGATATTTACACGCAGAGATGCAGCCGGACCGGAACGTTGTAGGGATCTGCAGGTTGCATATTCTGGTTTATCATCAACTTCCAAATTTTTCTCTGGAATGGTTAGGTGGTAATGATTACAAGTTTCACCACATTCTTCAAAGTTCAGACTTTATTTAATGAAACCATGACATAAGCGAGGTCGTCATCAAAATCAAGCAAAAATGCATCACTCATCCAGCAAAAGAATCATCCGATGAACAGTTTGATTTCGATTAATTTATCAAGCAAAACAAAATGAACACGAGCAATATTTTGAGACTCGTTACTAACCGAACCGAACATGAACAAGACATGTTTAGTTCATTTATGTTCGTTTAAATCTCATTTGATAAATAATTTAAAACTAGTCTATGTTTGCTTTTCAATTAATAAACAAAATTTTAATTATTCGCCAACACATTCAATTTTATATTTATGAACATATTTATTTAATGTTTGCGAACATGTGCCGTTTAAACGAAGGAATACAAACATAATTTTAAAATTCCTAGTGAACACAAACCGAATACAAACTTAAAACTGAACAATGAACACAAATTAATAAACAAAATTTTAATTATTCGCCAACACATTCAATTTTATATTTATGAACATATTTATTTAATGTTTGCGAACATGTGCCGTTTAAACGAAGGAATACAAACATAATTTTAAAATTCCTAGTGAACACAAACCGAATACAAACTTAAAACTGAACAATGAACACAGGAGGCTCATTCATTCAATCTCTGATGATTAACAGCCCTACTAATGCAACAAGAAAGAGGTTAAATTATGAAATTCCCCTTTCAAAATCAAGATAACAAATTATGTTTTAAGAGTTACCAAGGTCCTTAATCTGGAATTGAGTCAATATAACAGGAGGCACATAAACCTCAAGAGGATCCAGCTTTTTCCTGTCAAATTGCATATCATTAACACAAAAATGAATGAATAAATGATGTCCAGAGAGTACAATTCAAAATGGTGTCAGTGATTAACGATTGCTTTTTCACGTATTTATCCAAAAAGCTACCTGCAATAGCATCTGCAGTGGGAATAATAAAAAATAATAGCTTAGAAGTAACTCTTTGCAAGACTGATAGATTCATAAATGAAAAGAACCAAAAAAGTACAGTTGGGTGTAAGGAGGAAGTAAGAGAGAAACAAATATATTGAGACCGACAGCCGGTTCTCCCGCCAAATCGATGGTGACGCGGAAGACTGTCACGGTTTAGGGGTGAGGGGATTAGATTTCATAAAGAAAGAATTTAGGGAAAAAGAAAATATTCATTTAATTCATAAGAGATGATCCCCAAATTGGATTTGGTACAATTTTTTATATATGCACAAGTACCTCACAGCTGTCATATGTACTGTAAATCTAACAACCTAACTGATAAATATGTTGACTCATGCAAGATCATTCCAGGTGGTTGCATATCTCGGAGCCCAATGTCATCCAAGCCCATTGCCTCCATCAGCTTTGGCCGCAACGGTATCCTCCTCTTCCTTCATCCCAGCCCTTCCAGTTTCAGTCCTTCCCCTGTTCTAATTCCCCAAGTTACTTCTAATCCCTAATTGTTTCTAATTTATTCCCAATTCTTCCCATTCTAACCCTAAGTCAATTTCCATCATGAAAATGCCCCCTCCATCAGAGGATCCTTGTCCCCAAGGATCGAAATCGGGAAATTGTGTCTTCAGGACGGTGTAATCTTCCCAAGTCGCTTAAGCTGGCCCCATGTTTGTCCATTGAATAAGCAACTGAATTGGTTTTGGCGTTTGACCATCAGTTTATTCAAAACTATGGCTGAGTAAACCTTCAATTGGCCATCAGCTGTGATATCTGGAGGATCGATCGAATGTACTCTCCCTTTTCCAACCTTCTTCTTGAGTAAACTAATATGGAATACAGGATGTAGTTTTGAATCTGATGGTAATTGTAACCTGTACGCAACCTGAACAATTCTTTGCTGTATTTTGTAGGGGCCAAAGTACCTCACAACAAACTTCAAATTCTTTCTTAAAACAATGGATGTTTGTCTAGGCTGGAGCTTCAGGTAGACCTCATATCCCATATGAAATTCTCTGTCTGTGCGATGTCGGTCGACTATCTGTTTTATACAATTACTAACTTTAAGTAGTTGTTCTTATAACAATGTATTCAACTGATCATGATGCTGCATCATGTCTTGAACTGCCCCAACCTTAGACTCTCCTGACCAAGTCAAATTAGAAGGCTTGTAGCCATATAGTGCCTCAAATGGGGTCATTCCCAAAGCAGTGTGGTAATTAGTGTTATACCACCACTTGGCTTGGGCTAACCACTTCGACCATGAGGATGGTTTGAAAAACCACATGCATCTATGATACTGTTCCAAGCATTGATTGAGCCTTTCAGTTTGCCCATATGTTTCTAGATGATATGCAGTGCTAAAGAATGTAGTCGTTCCCAGTTGCTTCAATAATTCATGCCAAAAGAGGCTAGTGAAAGTTTTGTCTCTGTCTGAAATAGCAACCTTAGGAGGACCATGTAGTTTGTAAACTTTGTCTAAGTATATCCTGGCAATTTCCACCACTATGTAGGGATGGGCTAATGGCAAGAAATGTCCATACTTCGTAAATTTATCTATCACCACTAGAATACAAGTGTATTTCATAGAAGGTGGTAAGCCTTCAATGAATTCTATTGTGATGACTTCTCAAGCATTGTTTGGAACTGGAATAGGTTGTAACAAGCATGGTTTAGCAATGTGTTCAACCTTAGTCCGCTGACATACTTCGCATTGCTGCACATGATGTTGAATCATAGTCTTGATTTTAGGCCATAAAAAATATGACATGATTCGTTGATAGGTAGCTTGAATACCAGAATTGCCTCCTAGTGATGAGTCGTGTAGAGCCAGGATAATCTTTTCTCTGAGGTCCCCCATTCTATTGACATGGGCTTTGTTTTTAAAATACAAAACTCCTTTAACCAATTTCTAAACTTTTTTCTTATCTGGTTGAAGAACCAAATAGGAACCTTCTCTTGTTCAATTACATCATCCACATAACTCTTTTCAATGTCCTATATCCAAGTAGAAGTTATAACTGTTATGCCCATTTGTAAAATCTCTCCAGAATCCCCTTGTTGTCTAGAGAGAGCATTTGCCACTTTATTAATCTTGCCCTTCCTGTATTGAATTGTATAATCAAGCCCAAGCAACTTAGTAAGTCATTTCTTTTGGATAGTTGTAATTAACTTCTGCTCGAGGAGGTGTTTTAATGGTTCATGATCTGTCTTGATGACTAAAGGACCACTCTCCAGATAGTGTCTCCAGTGAGAAACTGCCATTAAAATTACCAAATACTTCTTTTCATAGATTGAAAGATCTACCTGTTTTGGGCCAAGATCCTTACTGAGATAAGCTATATATCTTCCTTCATGAGAGAAAACTACCCCAATGCCCTTCGAACTAGCATCTGTTTCCAAAAACAATTCTGCTCAAAATTGGGTAAGGCAAGAACTGGGGCTTTGCACATGACTTGTTTCAATTCTTCAAAGGCTGCCATGGCTTCCGGAGTCCAATAAAATCCTTCTTTCTTGAGCATATTGGTCAAGGGTTTGCTCAACTCTTCATATCCTTTAATGAATTTCCCGTAGTATTCTGTCAAGCCTAAGACACCCCTCAAGGCTTTCAAATTCTTAGGCAAAGGCCATTGTTGCATGGCCTTAATCTTCGCAGGGTCAGTAGCCACTCCCTGTGCTGAAATCAAATGCCCCAAATATTTCACTTGTTGTTGTCCAAATAAGCATTTACTCATTTTGTCATATAATTTATTCTTCAACAGAACATTTAAAACAATCCTTAGATGTTGTTTATGTTCTGCCAAGCTTGGAATTTAAACCAAAATGCCATCAATGAACACAAGGACAAACTTCCTTAAATATACACTAAATAAATCATTCATCAATGCTTGAAAAGTAGTTGGACCATTATTAAGCCCAAAGGGCATTACCTTAAATTCATAGTGTCCTTGGTAAGTCCTAAAAGTAATCTTGTGAATATCTTTATCCTTAATCCTGATTTTCCAGTATCCGAATCTTAGATCAATTATTGAGAAGAAGGTATCTCCATTCAGTTTATCGAGTAAATCTTATACTATAAAAATATGTAATTT